GAAACAAATTTGTCATACGACAGGGAGAAATGATAGTTTCTATATATCTGTCTAGATAGTTTCTGTGCTGCACAAGGAAGTCAGTCCATATATTTAGGTACCGCATATATCTCCAAGTGGTATTGAAGATTCTATCTATCTCTGCATAAATTCATTCAAACATTTTCGATATTTATATCGGTCATAAATGTGGAAGATGCTATTTAAATCGTAACAAGTAAACATACAAATTACCTCGTCAACGTTTCTCAAATGGTGAAACCTGAGCAAACATTTATTTAGAAAATTATAAGCATAGGATTTGAAGAAGCGATGCAATTAACAAATCGTCAAAGTTAAGCAATTAGAAATGTAGAAAATAATAATGATGTTACATGTTACTTGAATCGGTTAATTTCAATCATATTTTCATTTGTATACAACGTGAAATGTACTTTTCATCAAATTGTTTTCATCTAAGTTAAGTAATTGTGAATACAGAAAATAATAAATTAATTTGAATCATATTTCAATTTTTACGTGAAAAATCATATAAGCACGTTAGAGAAATGTAATACAAAACGTGGCTGTACTAAAATTGTCAGGTGTATTATACTGAAAATGTCAGTTCGTTATATACTTTTGAATGTAACTGTTCCAAAATGGATTTTTACCGTTTCAAAAGCCACTTTTAGGTTGACCGTATGACTGGGAATGTTTTAATCATGTGCAAAAATTATTTCCACTTCTTTTTATAGCGCGTAAAACCAACTTATGGGGTGTTCGGTTCTTAGGAGCATTAACTTTGACGATTTATTAATTATAAATGTAGTATATTGCTTTTTTATAACCCATCTTTTTATAGCTCGTATCTTTGTAACTTATTGCTTTCCACTTGCCTTGGTTAATTATTCCTCAAGACATAATGTCGTGCTCTTTCTATTAAATATCCAACTAATTTACTGTTTCGGTGAATCTGAAAAGTAAGGTATTATTCATTTTCGATCGATACAATTTAACGAAAGAAATAAAAAACAAGATGAGAAAATAGAAAAGAACTAAAAACATAAAAAAAATATTAATGAATGATTTCTAGCAAATTGATCGATCAAATTTCACCGTTGAAAAGTTCTGAGCTTTCTCGCGTTAGAGTTCAGACAATTCCTAGGAAGTTGCAATGTACATTTGAATTTAAAAAATAATTTTCATTCTTTCGCGAAAAATTCGATACTTCGTATTACACGACCGAATAAAAGGAACATTCGCATGTAGAGCAGAATTTGTAATTTTCAATAGTCGTTGACGTACAGCTGTATTGTAAATATAGAGTTTTAAGTAAACCTTCGAACTGAACCTTTTAATGGGTCACTCGAAAGTTATCGTTCGCTCTTTTTTTCATTACCTTTGTTCACACATTCTCATGGGTCAGTGAATTAAACGGTGTATACAAAAAGCCGAGTGAAATTTAAAAATTCGAGAAGGTCACTTCATAAATCGGTGCATCAACTTTTGATTGACGTTTTAATTACCCCCACTTAAACTAGAATTCTCGTGACAATTCGGACAGGGAATAACTTACAGTTTTTCCATCTACAAACGGATCTGTGGTTTCAGTTAGTTCGTCTATTATATTTTAAACATTATTTCAGATATCGATGTCGGTTTTCGTTGACTATTTATTTAGCCTCTTTAGGGACACCGACACATACACTGCCGGCCAAAAGTTTGGAATCACTGAGCATTGTAATTTACACAAAAATTTCCAGAAAAAAGTCGAGCGACTTTGAGAATTTTTTATCGTTCGAATCAATTGATACGAGATAAATTGATAAATGTAGAATTGAGATAAACTTCAAATCTGTAAAAAATTAGCAGCAGATTTAATATTGATGAAAAGTGGGAAGTGATTCCAAAGTTTTGGCCGGTAGTGTACTTGTACCTTTAGATTTTCCGAAAGTTCCAATATTTGCCATAGAGAAAATATGAAAAACAATCTCCCAAAATCTCCTAAGGAAAGTAGTTCAGTTGCTATCGATTTAGCAATACTTTCTAACTTAAAAAAAAAATCATCCCTGAAGAGGTTAACGTCTATGTCTAATTATTAAAATTCTAAAAATGTCGAGTCTGCGATATATTTTTAGGTAACCTAAACTTCTTACCGTCTCATTTATTTAATTTGGTTTATTTTACGATTTTATATTATTTAATCGAAGTGTATGTCTAATTATTGGAATTCTGAAAATGTCGAATCTGTGATATTTTTTAAAGTATTATAAATTTTATACCATATTTAGTTAGTTTGGCTTGTTTTGCTATTTGAAAGTGAAATTTAGGGTCAACTAAATCGACGTAATTACAATAATAATAGTACGAATTAATGCTGAAATAAAATGGAAAAAAATTCAATTTAAATGTTTCATTTAAAAGCGTAATTGTAGTTAACAGGAACGAGTACCAGAGAGATGTCAAATTAAAACCACGGTTGAGCGCACGTTTATTTTACGCATTTTCAAACTCGAATTTTTAAAAAAATAAAACTTGTGAAAAAAAAATATTTATTTTTTTCTTTCGACTTGCTTTTGCGTAGAGTTTTCAACTTAATTGCAAAACGAGTTTAAAATTTATTTTACACTTTTCAGTCCTTTTTACAATACTCTAATATGTAGTATATTTGTACTATATGTAGTATATATCGTTTGATATTTTGTAAATTTACAAAATTTGCAACTTTGAAGTTTTTGTTTCACAAACATAAAGTTTCTATGTACAGAGTGCATCGAGCTTTGCAACAACAACGTTTTTTAAATTTAAAGACGTACAATTTCAGGTGCAAATAGTTTAGAAAATATCATCCTTAATGTTAATTTATTGCATAAAGTTTCGTTTCTTACAAGAAAATATCTTAAAGTGATTACAATCGGCGATGGTTCACAATAAAGGAATAAAAATCGTCCTTAAAGTTCGAGGTACTAAGTATATTTAGTCTAATATCTCGAGAACTATCGAAAGAAACAGAGTAAATAAACGAATTTCGTATTTTCCAACAACAAATTTGAAAAACAAAAAAGTAACAAACAATTTCGACCAAATATATTTATCACCCTTATTTTTCAGGTCGATTTTCACCCCTTCGATGTGAACGATTAAAGAAAACACGCGTCAAACATTTTTCTCAGTGCTACCATACACTAAAGTTTCATCAATATCGATGAGTATCACTTCGGGATATTCCCTCCTTAGTACTGAAAGCTATTATAATATTTCTCCATTAAAATTTCTTTCCATATTTACGGGATAGAATAACAAAAATTTCCAAAGTTTCACTTAAAGTGTCACAAGTGACGTGTGCCTCTAATCACTTGCTATTAAGCACCAACTTTGCGTGTCGATAATTTCTCATTAAAAATGGGTCACGAACCCAAACTGTCTTATTAGCTCCTCCTGAGGTTAAAGATTGTCGAACGACAGGGTTTTCAAGAAGGAAAGTCCGATCACGTCGTCTGCATAATCCGTTTAGCTTAAAATGTCGAGGAAAATAGAGGAAGACAACTTTGTGTACTGCTCGAGGTTTCTTCCTTTTCGAAGAAGTGTCGACGTGTTTATCGCGTGTTTAGACCTTTCGTGATACTCTCGAATGGGAAAGTTACGTCTGCTGATAGAACGAATAATGGAATGTTAAAATTGCGTTCCGTTATCATGCACTTTTGTTGCTTCTCTCAAGACACTAGAAGATAAAAGTCGATTCTGTCGATGATATCGTGCGATATGTCGAGGTCGGGGTTTTGCTCAGTTATCTTCTCCTTAGTTCTTGACACGAATCTTCGAGCACCTAGTTGGTATGAGCTTTTTCACTGTGGAACGTTTATGTGAGAATACTTGTTGCTCAACGAAACACTGCGCGTTATAATGCACTTTAATGAGTCTGGGTTAATCATTCGCGAGCATGCACGTCGGATTTCTTTTAAACGATACGTTATCTGTGATGAATTGCGACCTTTATTGCGAATGCGTGTAAAATAAATGTATCTTTTCAAACACCTTTGTATCGTGGTAAATTTAAAACTTCCACTGGTATAATTCACTGAAAGTGAAAAAATGCTCGTTTTTACTAAGTCACAATATAATAAATAATGGATTTTTTTACCAAATTGAGTTATTTATTCTAGATCTTCAAAAATTTCAAGTTCAATTTCTGCAAAAACAATACATACTGATTTACAAGGGAACTTTACTACCCCAAAAATTGCAGAGTATGTTTTTTTGCTACTTTTTGGTTCTCCAGGGTGAAAACACCCCTTACAGATTGATATATGTATCAATCTAATTATTTTCTCTAGCTACGGTGGTATGAGAAAATCTTTGTAAATAATTTAAATAATTTCAAACGGTGAATAAAACGAGAGAACAATTTTTTTATCTTCTGTTTAAGGTCACTTATGTTTTTTTACACGGATGTATATTTTTTTCTACTGTACGTTACAGCAGGACATTGATATGCATAATAACACTACCTTGGACTCTAAAATTCTAAGACAAACGTGAAACCTCCTTTCATTTTTCGCCATTTCTTTCATCTTTATTCACCCTTTGAAAAATGTTCTCACACCACCATAGCCAGAGAAGATAATTATGCATCCTGTTTCACGTGACCCACCCTGTACATACGCATATCTAGCACAGATAGATTACGTAATATTTACTTAAGGAACTTAAAGCGACAACGTGCACGAGACAGATCGAATAGCAATAGCGGCCGATCGATCACTATATGTATATACACACACAGTTCATATTCGGTGCATTATGGTTTTCGCAAATTCGATGAATGCGTCGCGTGGTTAACATTGGGTAAATTAGCCAGACCGCCTGGCAGTTCGACCTATACCTTAGCTTTAGGCGTTCACTGCTAATTCTAGCCGTTGCGTTTATGCATGCATAATGAGGAAGGAATGACACGAACGAAACTCCCTATTCCCGTGATTACGATCACTCAGCCTGTTGTTTCTATTTGTACGTTTCAGAGGGCCATTCAGCGTGGTTAGGAAATGCATTCACCGGCAAACAGGGCAGACGTTCGCAGTAAAAATCGTGGACGTAGCAAAGTTCACATCCAGCCCCGGTCTGAGCACTAACGGTGAGTTCGCGGAGAATCAGGATCGCGCATGTACTCGTCTCGGGTGTTCCGCCATTAATTTCCGCCGTCTGTCCCTTTCGAACGTTGTACGGGCCGGCATTCGCTTTATTCGATTTCGTGTTTACGTATTCTCTTTTACTCTAACGCGTGTATATATACGCGATCCGTGAATTCGGTACCATTGTTCAATTCGAATTGAAATTGCTTTCGTCCTTCCGAGCATATCTCGGCGACTTTAATGTGGAACACGTACGAGAGATCCGAGAAATGAACTGTAAATCCGTTCGATCATTATTGGATAAGTTTCGTTTCCCGATTATACCGGAGAGCGCGGTTTTATTTGTGGTGTCAACGTGGTAGATTTATTCTATGTAACGGGGGTACACACCAGGCTGAAGCGTCTGAATATAGGTCAAGTTTGGGAATTTTTTTTCACAGAGAACCACCGAACGAAAAGCTTCCATTTTTTCTGGGGACGTAGATAGAGCTTTCAGCTTTCCGCTGGAATTTTTAAACAGTGGAAATTTTGCAAAATTGAGAGGGAGTTGTTCGTTAATTGTGAAACCTCTGCTGCTGGGACATCGATTGCTGGCCGCCATTGCTGGGAAGGATTAGAACGCCTGAAATGAAAAATTCTTTTTCGTTTGTGAACGGAAATGTATTATCTACAATGTGGCGTAGGATTTTTTGAAAATCGTGATTATTGTAGAAATGGTGGCAGTTTGAAGAGGAAGAACATGTTTTAACTAAAAAAAATAAATTTAAGCGTTTCTAAAAAATTTAATAATTGACGTATCGAAAATATCTTACGCTACATTGTAGATAATGCGTTCGTATTTATAAATCAAAAAGAATTTTTTAGTTCAGACGTTCGAATCCTTGCCAGCGATGGCGGCCAATAATCGATGTTCCAGTAGAAGAGAATTTGTAATAATTCGTCCATTTTGTAACATTTTTGCTTTTTAAAAATTGCAGAGGAACACTGAAAGTTACATTTATATCCTCTGAAAAATTGAAGCTTTTCATTCAGTAGTTACCTACGAAAAAAATTCCCAAACTTTACCTATTTTCAAATGCCTCAGGTTCGTGTTACCCAATAAATGTTTAATATTTTAGTTTTAAGTTTAAAAAATACTTAGTTTGGAAAAAATTTCTTTCTTTCACGGTTGATTAAGAATTTTGTGTAAACTTTGTGTACATGTATATGATACTTGTATAATAATTTGTCATTCGCTTGTAGAAGAAATTATTGTGGGCGGGTGTGTTCATTGCGATGTGTATTTGTTGCACGTCTAATAATAAAAATATCTTTTTTACATTCTCTAAGAGTTGCATAGTTCTAATAATAGGTGAAATGTAGATGCTTTAAGGGTTAATAATATTATGAAAATGCGTCACAGTTAGAACGTAATTCGAAGAGAAGCATGAACGTCACACTACTGATGTGATCAATCAATTTTATGAGATACGATTTCCAATACAGTTAGTGTGAGATGTTTTTCCCATATTTTGTCATGATTACATCATATTAATTCTATTTTAGTGTTTCGATAGTGTATATACGATTATACTGCTATTTTATACGATAATTTTCTAACCGTAAAAACATTTTACATTTAACAGTTTGCTGAATTTGTGGAATTTATATTTTATGTTTGCACAATTTCGTTAAAGGTTTAAATAATTTTAAAGTTAAAAGTGAAATTTTTAATATTTCCCTCAATTTAAAATTCAGCGTTTCATTTCGTTTATTTAATTTCTCATAAAATTGTTGCTCTATCAATGTGTTGTTCAAGCTAATTAATTACTTACTATAAAAGAGAGAAAAAATTGGAGGAGTAGATTAAATTTCAATTAAATTGATAAAATTTCATAGATATTGTTTTATGTTTATTAAAATGGATTAAATTTCAATTAAATTACGGAACAAGAATCATATACATCAGTTAGTTAATAATATCAGCCATAATGTATCCTTTGAAAACATTGAAATAATTTTGAAAAAAGAATTCACTCAAATAATTCCATATTAAATTTTTATTTAAACTTTCCATACTACGAAACTTTCTTAAAACACACATACTACAGAATTATAGCAAAAGTAAAGTTTCACAAATATGTGATTGCTGCAGATTTGAAGCGGGAAGCGACAATATGCCACATGTTAAAACATCCCCATATTGTAGAGTTACTCGAAACCTACAGTTCCGAGGGTATGCTCTACATGGTATTCGAATAGTAAGTATAACTATATTTCATTTATATCTTTTGCGTAACAAGCGGAAATTTACTAAAAAAAACTGAACGTTCAGCGCAGGTTTCGTTTGTTTTATACTTTCAACGTTTGATTTTCATGTTTTACGGTAAAGTTCCGGTGGATTTCGTTTTTAAAAATATTCGTT